ATAATGCAAAAAGCCATAAGTAAAGGAAATAATTTGCGCAAAGAGACAGATATGGTATTTAGTAAACCTAATACCTAAAAGTACAAAATCCCTGAAATAGGATATAATGGAAATGTTTACCAAAAATAAAAAATCAACAAATGCTAATGAAACACAAAAGCATTCCATAAAATTTTGATAGCTGTTTTTTCTTCTCATTCCTAATGTGAGGATATTTAGTAATATTTTCCCAAGTACGATCAAGAACAACAGAAAAGTAGCATCTAGAGGCTGATTTGTTTGATGTAACTGGTTCTGAAAAGAGCAGCTGTCTGAAGAAAAAGATGTCATATTTTTAAATTTCAAGAAGACCTGCTGGAAAATACATGATAAAACACCGCTTCACTTTATTTTCCGTTCCTTATCTGAAAAAGTTCCATCACAGGTTCGTGGTACAAGGACACAGAAGCATAGGTGCCAATCTGACGACTGCCAAATGGTGTGTCGCTTGGAGGAGGCCTAGGTGGAATGAACAGATGAGTCTCTCCAGAGTCTTCCTTACCAATGATCCTATTTTATTTTGATTTTGCTGCCTTCAATTATGTCACTCTTGGTTCCTTGCATTTCATTTTGCTATGCCAAAATGCTATGTAAGCTATCCTTTGCTGGTGTGGGTTTTCTCTGAAAGTTGAGCTGCTAGCGCTCCTCGCGGGGCTCCGGGCCGCACCTTCCTCCGGAGTCCGCCAGTAGAAACCACCGGCTTGGGCTCGCGCCCCGCGTCCCGTGCAGGGACCCTACCCGGCCCGGCGCAAGGTCACCGCGAGGCACCTGCACCATCGGCCTATAATTTCTTTAAAAACTCAGTTTGAGGGGCTGGGGATTTAGCTCAGTGGTACTGCGCCTACCTTGCAAGCGCAAGGTCCTGAGTTCAACCCCCAGTACTAGAAAGAAAAAAAAAGTCAGTTTGAGCTAAGCAGGCCTTTAAGGAAGCAATATGTATTTAAATTTCATTATAACTCAACTCTTGACTACAACTTCTTTTTTTTTTTTGGTACCGGGAGTCGAACTCAGGACCTTGCACTTCCAATGCAGGCGGCGGAACCACTGAGCTAAATCCTCAGCCCTTACAACTTCTTAAATGTTTCAAATAGTCATCACAGTCACTCTTACTCTCTGTGACCTTCATAGACCTGCTCCATGTTTAATCACACAACCTTTAAACTAAAAAAAAGTGTCTCTTTAAAAAAAACTTGTTAAGAAAATTATTTCTTTTAGCAGAACATAATAAACACATCATATTCAGAAGGAGAATATGAGTTTAGGTATAAGACTTTAGTTAGTTTAAAAGCCTCATTTATTTCAGTTTACATTTTTCAAAGGAATTCTGCGATTTAAAAGAAGCACTAACCTTAAAACTTTTGGGACATTCCAAGGATCATTTTTCAGATTCAGTAAGTACTTCAAAATTCAGTTTATTGTGACCCCAACAAAGTGATAATGGTAATTCATAGTTGGCCTGCTCAGGTAACTTTTACTAAATTTTCACAAAAATGTTGTCAGGAGATTTACCTAGACACATCTCTTACTTATACATAAAATGATAACTATAAAAAGTAATTATTTTATGTTCTACATTTTAAAAATCACTATAACTGTAACTTACAGGAAAATTTAAATTCTGTATTCTTACATACACTAACATACAAATATTCACAAAATAAATTGTTCACATAACTGAGTTTACAAAAATGTTTTGCAATGCACAACTTGAAGTTACAAATATATACTTTTCAAATTCAATGCATTATAGATTAAACAATAGAATCTGTGTATCAGGGTATGATCCCACTACTTAATGAGTAGTACTCCTCATAGGATTTAGATTTCAAATCTAATAATACTAGCTTGTTCAGGAATTTCAATTTTTAACTAAAAGTGTGTTGAGGAGATAATAAACAATGAGAGAGTGGACACTATAATTCACATTTCTGACAAAAATGTGAGAATGTTTAGACAGCTGGGAACAGAGGAGTCCCTAAAAAACAGCTCAAAGATAAGCATGAAACAAACAGGATAAAATCAGAATTTTGTTCTCCCTAGTGTCTTTATTGGCAAACAGGAAAAAAAAAAATGCTATCACAGGTGCAAAACCTAAAATGTTTAGAATTCATTACCATAATTGATGGATTTGTATTTTGTTCTCCTTTCTTCAAGTCACTGAGAAAACATGTCTTTTTGGAATGACATTATCAATTAAAGTACAACATAAGCTGACAAACAATGTTTTCATACATACACAAGCATATATATAACATCCTGGTTTGTTTGTTTTTTGGTACCAGGGATCAAACTCAGGACCTTGCGCTTGCAAGGCAGGTGTGGTGCCACTGAGCTAAATCCCCAGCCCCTCATCTTGCATTTTTGGAGACTCCCTTCTACCTTGATCACATAATTTCACACAGATCATGCCCATAAAAATTTTACAACATATTTGAGAATAGTCAAGAGGGGCATTCTTTTTTCAGGATGCTGTCTTTGTTCCTCTTCATTTTTCTTTAGGACCTTGGCATAACTTGGCAAATGACACTTCACGGTTGCAAGGTTAGAACTGCTGGATACTGCTAGATTTTACATGTTAATGCATTACAAACACCAGCTTATTTGTTTACTTGCTTGCTTACTTAACTGCCCAATTGAATGAAGCAGGTCATTTATGAACAGGCCATAAATCTGTATATAAAAGTACAAATATAAAAATAACTCATATTTGTAAAACACTATACAGTACATATAATAGTATTTCACAAAACTCATCTTACAAACAATGAAACCAAGGCTATGAGATGTTAAGGTCACATGGCTAGTTTGTGACAGTGACAGGATTAGAATCCAAATCTCTGCCTCTTTAGAAACTATGCATTGTCACTGCTGAATTACTGTTATAAATTGACTTATGGATGTTATTTTCTGTTCATATTAATTCATGGTAAAAAAAATTAAATGATACGAAAATGAACTAAATCTTTTAACACTCCACATTTCCTTGCAACCATGTATCTCTGGGGGTGGAGAAGTTTTGCAATGCTGAGGCTCGAACTCAAGGGCCTTGCATGTGCTAGGTAAGTGCTCTTTTTCCAGTTAGTCACATCCCTAGGCCTGTGTATTTTTTATTTTATAACGGAGACATATCATTATACAAGTATAAATTTTTTGGTCACTTTCTGTACCATGTAAATTTTTCCATGTATTTACATATTTTAACATTATATTTAATGACTAGTATACCATCATATAAATATACATAAAGTACTATAACTTAGCCAATTCCCTATTGTTGGTTGGTTAAGACATTTACAATTTTTAAACAAATGATCAAATAATCATGGAATTATATAACCTTTTATGGACATGTCACAGTATATTTTTAGAGAAACGTAACTGGGTTTTATAGAGTGTATACCAACCAATTAAGTATAAAAATGTCTAAATTGGGCCAGGGATTTAGCTCAGTGTTCCCATTGCTTTGCCTGGCAAGCACAAGGTCCCGTGTTCAATTCCCGGTAACAAAAGAAAAAACTGTCTAAATACCCTTGAATTGCTTTTTAATGGTTAGGCAACCCCAGATTATTTTGTTTTCCTGATAGATATTTAAAGAGGATAAAAGGAATTGGTAAGAAGAACTGTTATGACCTATATTCTGACTAAAGAAGAACTGATTTGTGAAATAAAGTAACAGAAAATTTAGGAGACTGAACTGTACCAACCCAGGCTAGGTGAGGGTTGAAAGTGTGCTGTATATATACATTTTTTTTTTCAAAATTTCAAAGAAAATATAGTGAGCATAAGAGTTTTCTTTTTTTTTTTTTTTTTT